GCTCCCCCCATGGGGCCACGAAGCGCTATGCTGGGCGAGGGGGACGCATGCGAACGTCGCCACTGGTGCCTTCGGTGGATCTCCCAATGGGACCACGAAGCGTTGTAGTGAGCGGGGTGGACGAATTCGAAGGTCGCCACTGTGGCCTTCGGTCTGATGCGTGCGAGCGTCGCTGCGGGAGCCTTCGGTTGAGCTCCGTATGGGGCTACAACATGCTGTAGTGTGTGGGTCGGACGCATGCGAACGTCGCCACTGGGGCCGTCGGAGGGTTCCCTATGGAGCCACGAAGCGCTGTACTGCGCGGGGAAGGCGAACGCGTATGGGCGGGGCGGGTGCATGCGAACGTCGCCACTGAGGCCTTCGGTGGAGCTCCCGATGGGGCCACGAAGCGCTGTACAAGGTTGGGCGGACGCATGCGAACGTCGCCGCTGGGGCCTTCGGCAAAACTCCCCATGGGGCCACGAAAAGTTGTACTGGGTGGGACGAATGCAGGCGGACGTCGCCACAAGGGCCTGCGCTGGAGCTCCCCATGGGGCCACGAAGCGCTGTACTGCGCGGGGAAGGCGAACGCGTATGGGCGGGGCGGACGCATGCGAACGTCGCCACTGAGGCCTTCGGTGGAGCTCCCGATGGGGTCACGAAGCGCTGTACTAGCTTGGGCGGACGAATGCGAGCGTCGCCTCCCCATGGGGCCACGAAAAGCTGTACTGGGTGGGGCGAATGCAGGCGGACGTCGCCACAAGGGCCTGCGCTGGAGCTCCCCATGGGGCCACGAAGCGCTGTACTGCGCGGGAAGGCGAACGCGTATGGGCGGGGCGGACGCATGCGAACGTCGCCGCTGAGGCCTTCGGTGGAGCTCCCGATGGGGCCACGAAGCGCTGGACTAGGTTGGGCGGATGCATGCGAACGTTGTCGCTGGGGCCTTCGGCATAACTCCCCATGGGGCCACGAAAAGCTGTACTGGGTGGGGCGAATGCAGGCGGACGTCGCCACAAGGGCATGCGCTGGAGCTCACCTTGGGGCCACGAAGCGCTGTACTGGGCGTGGCGGGCGCATGCGAACGTCGCCAGGGGCCTTCGGTGGAGCTCCCGATGGGACCACGAAGCGCTGCATTGGGTGGAGCGGACGCATGCGAACGTCGCCACGGAGGCCTTCGGTCAAATTCCTTTTGAATTACGAAATGCTGTGCTGGGCAGCGCGGGCGCATGCGAACGTCGCCACTGCGGCCTTCGCTGGAGCTTCCTATGGGGCCACGAAGCGCTGCACTGGATGGGGCGGGCGAATGCGAACGTCGCCACTGAGGCCTTCGGTGGAGCTCCCCAGGGGGCCACGAAGCGGTGTGCTGGGCGGAGCGGACGCATGCGAACGTCCCCACAGGGGCCTCCGGTGGAGCTCCCTACGGGGCCACGAAGCGCTGTACTGGATGGGGCGGGCGCATGCGAACGTCACCACTGGGGTCTTCGGTGGAGCTCCCCGTAGGGGCCATGAAGCGCTGTACTATGCGGGGCGGACGCATGCGAACGTCGCCACTGTGGCCTTCGCATTCGGTGGAGTTCCCTATGTGGCCACGACACACTGTACTGGTCGGAGCGGACGCATGCGAACGTCGCCGCTGGGTCTGAGTTGTATTGGGTGGAGCGGGCGCATGCGAAAGTCGCCACTGGGGCTTTCGGTGGAACTCCTTATGGGGCGACGACGTTCTGTGCTATGCGGGGCGGGCACATGCGAACGTCGTCGCTGGGGCTTCCGGTGGAACTCCCTATGGTTCCACGAATCGCTGTATAGGGTGGAGCGGACGCATGCGAACGTCGCCACTGTGGTCAGCGGTGGAGCTCCCTGTAGGGTCACGAAGTTCTGTGCTATGCGGGGCGGGCACATGCGAACGTCGCCGCTGGGGCTTTCGGTGGAGCTCCCTTTAGGGCCACGAATCGCTGCTTGGGTGGAGCGGACGCATGCGAACGTCTCGCTGGGGCCCCCGGTGGAGTTCCCTATGGGGCCACGAATCGCTGTATAGGGTGGAGCGGACGCATGCGACCGTCGCCGCTGGGGCCTTTGGTGGAGCTCCCTACGGCCACGAATCGCTGCTTTGGGTGGAGCGGACGCATGCGAACGTCTCGCTGGGGCCCCCGGTGGAGTTCCCTGTGGGGTCACGAAGCGCTGTAGTGGGTGGAGCGGACGCATGCGAACGTCGCCACTGAGGCCTTCGGTGGAACTCCCTACGGGGCCAGGAAGCGCTGTGCTATGCGGGGCGGACGCATGCGAAAGTCGCCGCTGGGGTCTTCGGTGGAGCTCCTTTTGGGGCCACGATGCGTGGCGCGGTGTGCCGAACTGGCTGACATGCGGAAAGCGGAAGCGCGTAGGGGAGAAGGAGGAGGAGGAGGATAAGGAGGAGGAGGATGGAAGGAGGGAGACGCAGGGCGCTGTCTCGTCAAAACGAGGACCCAATACCACAGGATAGCTCGGAACTATGTAGAATACACATTTGGGCAAAATCTTGGGTCATGCTCGGGGACGGGAGGTAGGCACGTAGTATTGTGGTCTGACCAGGACGGCGGGGGGGCCCGCACATTGCCTGCTGCGCGCAGGGTCACCATTCCTTTCAAAAATCCGCCGATCCGGCGTGTGAGTTTCAAGGAGTCTCAGCTACAGCCTCGAGGCTGAGCCTCAGCCTCTGGGGGGGTTGCCGGGGTGGCTCTGCCGGGGAAGGGGGGGTGGGGGGGGGGCGGGGGGCGAGTTTCCGGCGGATGCGTTTTTTGACACCACTCACAAGGATCGTGGCCTCCGAGGGGGGTCCGAACTCGAGTACCACCCCTCCCGCACCAAGAGGCTCCGAGGAGGCCTCCAAGAGGCCCCAAGGGGCGCAGAAGAGGCCCCCAAGAAGCCCCAAGAGGCTCCCAAGAGACCCCCAAGAGGCCCTCTAGTGGCCCCAAGAGGCCCAAGAGGCCCCCAAGAAGCCCCAAGAGGCGCCCAAGAGGCCCCCAGAAGTCCCAGCCAACCACGAGATCCCAACCAGCATCCATGAGGCCTCTGACCCACCACCCACGCACGGTGGCGGGATAGGCCGACGGCCACTGGATAAATGCTGAGTGAGAGGAGGGGAGGGAAAAAGAGAGGAGGGACGAGGGCGAAGAAGGATCACATCAGTCGGAGCGCCCCGGATCGGCGGCACTGGCCGAAGGCCACTACAATATGCAACATGTACTTCGCGGCAAAATCTCGATCAAACATGGGCATCCCGCGATCACGCTGCATGGGTTTTTGACCGGGACGGCAGGGGTGCTGGCATGCTGCCTGCTGTGCGCAAGCCCGCCAGACACCATGCTGGCCACCCCGCCGCGATTGCGCGTTGGTTTTAGACAAGGATGGTGCTCGCCGACATGTTTGCCGGTGTGTACTGTCACGTGCGCGGGCGCACCTGGCACACTCTGAGCGTGCCCCGAACATGGCGCACCTGGCACGGCTTGAGCATGCGGCGCACATGGCGCACGTGAAGCACGTGGCGCATCTAGCACGTGTGGCGTACCACGCCTCAGCGTCGCGTACATGGGGTCTGTGTTGGTTCCAAGTAGCTGTCCAGCCAAAGACGATAGCTGAACATGCTGCTACTCGGGTGCGACTTGTGTGTTGTGAGGGCGGGTGGGAGTGAGCGAGACGGCCTGCGGGCGGGGAGTTTGTCTTTACTCGTCCCTCTACCCCCTCCCCTGGACTTGGATGGGGCGCCTCGCGACCCCTTGGAGCGTCCAAAGAGGCCTCAGCGAGAAGGCACAAACTTGGACGCAGTTTGGCCTCTTGGGAGGGTGGGCTAATTGAGACCTCTCTTCGTTGATCGATCTCTTCCAAGATGGCCCCCGCTCTTTAGGGTGCCCCTAAGGGGCCCCAAGAGGCGCCGGGGAGGCCTCAAGAGGCCCCAAGGAGTCCCCCAAAGACTCCCAAGAGACCCCCAAGTTGCTTTCCCGAGGCACCCAAGACGCTCCACGAGGCCCCCAGGATCTCCAAGAAGCACCCAAGACCCCCAATTCAGGACCCAAGAACCTCTCAATTCACATCCGAAGAGACTCTGAGAGACATTCAAGAAGCCTCTGGCCTTTCTGCTCGCCCTCCTCCTCCTCCTCCTCCGATTGCTTCCTCAGCCCTTGTTTCATGCTCCTCCACATCCCTGATCTCGGCAATTCGCCTGGGCATCGATTCTGAATTGGCTGGTGGGGTTATACGAGGCGTCTAGAATTGTCATCCGTCTCAGCCTGTTCACCATCATCATCCTCATCCTCCTCATTCTCATCATCATCAGCAGCAGCATCATCAGCATCATCATCATCATCATCATCAGCATCAGCATCAGCATCAGCATCAGCATCAGCATCAGCATCAGCATCAGCATCAGCATCAGCATCAGCATCAGCATCAGCATCAGCATCATCATCATCATCATCATCATCATCATCATCATCATCATCATCATCATCATCATCATCATCATCATCATCATCATCATAATCATAATCATCCTCCTCCTTCTCATCCTCATAATCGTGATCATCCTCACCATATTCATCACTATCATTCTCGCTATTGTCCTGCTCGCCTCGCTCCCCCTGTTGCTGTCCTCCCATCCTCCTCCTTATCCTCCACAGCCTGACGCCCATCCCCCTCCTCGTGGTCCTCACCCTTGCATGTTTCGTCAACGTCATCCTCATCACCATAGCCATCATAGCCATCATCATCACCACCGCCACCATCATCACCCCCACCACCGCCACCACCATGTCTGCTGCTCCCCCTCCCTCCCGCTCTGTAAATGACATCGTCTCGACCCCCCTTCCCCTTGCTCGCTCCTGGCAGAGTCGAGGGAGCTGAGGGAGTGGCAGAGGGAGAGGGAGGAGAATGATCGAGCAGGGTACAGGACGAGGGCGAAGAGCAATAGCAACTGCAGCAGGAGGCACGGAAGCCCCCCAACGGCGATCGCTGTGCGGTGCCGTGGCACGCCGCCAGGCAGCTCCGACAGCAGACAGCGCCGCGAAGTCCCCGAGGCGCCGCCGCAACCACACGCCCAGGCCCGCCGCCGCCGCCGGCCCTGGCCGGCTGCTCTCCTCCGCCAGCCGCAAGGCCTTCCAAGGGGGGGCTCCTGCTAACGCGAATGGTGCTGATGGTGCTGCGCCGATGCTCGGCTTCACGCGAACGGATCTCGCCGTCGCTCGGACGTCCACTCCCCGTGCATTTCTCAGTTTCGCGCGTGCATCTTTTGCGCAAGATGACCCAGGATGCTCCTTGATGGTCCTCGCCGCGGCAAAACATGCACACGTCCGAGCGATGCCACGGGAGCTGATTCCCGCTGCTGTTCCGTCTCCCCGCTCTCTCTAATAACCCCCCCCCGCCCGTCAACACCACACCACCCCCCTCGCTGGCGCCACGCTCCCACCGCCCACCCGCCCGCCCGCTTGCACCACCACGCTCCTCCTCCTCCTCCTCCTCCTCCTCCTCCTCCTCCTCTTCCTCCTCCTCCTCCGCCTCCTCCTCCGCCTCCTCCTCCGCCTCCTCCTCCTCCTCCTCCGCCTCTGTTTCTGTCTCCTCATCTTTTTCTTCCTCCTCCTCCTCGTCGCCCTACCCCCCGCTACCCCCACCTGGACAGCACGTGGAGGGCCTTCAGACGCTTCCGACCGTGGAGGGCAAAGAGGAGAGGCCTCCGCTGTGAGCGTGCGCTGCTCGAGGCCGCGGAGCAGCCAGGCGCGGTTGAGGTCGCTGCGGGAGCAGGCCTCCAGGTCCGTGACCTTGGCGCTCTCTCTCTCATCGTGCCTCCCCTGCTCTGCCCCTCCTCCATCAAACTGCCCTCGTGCTGCTGAGTTGAGAGCAGATTAGCCACCCTCACCAGGAGCCCCCCGACAAGCGAAAGCGTTTAGAAAGCACCACCCAAGGAATCGAACAGGGCAGGGCTGTTCAGCAAACGCCCAAGGCCGTTCAGAAAACGCCAGTCATCGGGATCGGAGTGGTAGAGGGAGGAGCGGAGAGCAGGGGAGGGATGCAGCGCCTCCTCCTCCTCCTCATCCTCCTCAGTCTCCTCCTCCTCCTCCTCCTCCTCCTCCTCCTCCTCCTCTCTCATCATCATCATCATCATCATCATCATCATCATCATCATCATCATCATCATCATCATCATCATCATCATCATCATCATCATCATCATCATCATCAGCATCAGCATCAGCATCAGCATCATCATCATCATCATCATCATCATCATCATCATCAGCAGCATCATCATCATCATCAGCAGCAGCATCAGCATCAACATCTCCCTCATCATCATCACATCACATCATCATCATCGCCAGCATCATGATTATCATCATCAGCATTATCATCATCATCATCATCATAATCATCATCAGCATCAGCATCAGCATCAGCATCATCATTATCATCATAATCGTCAGCATCATCATCATCATCATCAGCAGCAGCATCAGCATCAGCATCAGCATCATCATCATCATCATCATCATCATCATCATCATCATCATCATCGTCATCACCACCATCATCATCAGCAGCATCAGCACCAGCATCAGCATCAACATCAGCATCAGCATCTCCCTCATAATCATCATCAGCAGCATCATCAGCATCAGCATCAGCATCAGCATCAGCATCAGCATCCGCATCATCATCATCATCATCATCATCATCATCATCATCATCATCATCATCATCATCATCATCATCATCAGCATCAGCATCAGCATCAGCATCAGCATCAGCATCATCCTGCTGCTCCTGCTCCTCCTGCTCCTCCTGCTCGTCCTGCTCCTCCTGCTCCTCCTGCTCCTCCTGCTCCTCCTGCTCCTCCTGCTCCTCCTGCTCCTCCTGTTCCTCCTGCTCCTCCTGCTCCTCCTCCTCCTCCTCCTCCTCCTCCACCTCCTCGTCCTCCTTGTTCTTGTCCTTGTCCTTGTCCTTGTCCTCCTCGTCTTCCTCGTCTTCCTCGTCCTCCTCCTCCTCGTCCTCCTCCTTGCTGCGCCGCCGCCTCGATGTTATCCTACCCCCGCTCCGCTCCATCTCCTCCTCCCCTTTCTCCCCCCGCTCCTGACAGCAGGCTAGACGGGGCGCTCCCCACGCTCCACCTCCTACCCCCCCGTTCTCCCCGACGCTCCTCGCATCCGGCGTGCGGGCGCGCGCCCAACGGGAGGGGGGGGCGCCTGGCTCGCGCCCCCCCCCCCCCCATACACCACTGGCATGGAGCCCGCCGCCTCCGCCTTCTGGTCCTCTCCCTGCTCCCTCTTCCCCCTCGCCGCCCTCCTCCTCCGCGCAGCCAGCCTTCCGCCTACGCACAAGAGCGACCCTGGCAATAGGTGACCGTTGGTGCGCGACTGTAGGGGGCTGCGTGGGGGGGGGCGGGAGCAGAATCCAGGCGCGCAAGCCGGCGCTCGGGGGGACCCCTGTAAGCCAGCCGTGAAGGTCACTCTGGCGAAGGGCCCCTGTTGCGAGCAGTCGAGCCCCTCCTCCGCCCCACAGGGAGGGCTCGGGGCCAGATCTCCCTCCGCCTCGCGGAGAAAGTTGGCGAGCTCCCCGCAGCCGATCCCACGACGATCTCCCCCTCCGGAGAAGAGGAGGAAGGAGGAGTGGGAAGGACGAGTCGGGGCCGCACTGACCCTGGGCAGCCGAAAGCCCAGGTCAGCCGGGGCCGCGTGGTGAACCGAGGCCGGCCACGAAGGGGCTCTCCAGCCTGGGTCAGCGGAGGGCGGGGGCGCCGGGTCGGCTCCGGGTGGCTCCCGCGGGAGGGGATTGGCTGACCCCCGTTGAGGCTGACACCTGTTTCGGGGAGACGTAAGACCCGGGTACGGGGGACTCGGAAATCCCCGACGAGGTCGTCAAAAAAATGACGAGGCCGAGCCTGCATTTTGACGAGGCCTCCCGCTGCAGACATCCCACGAAACTCCTACTCGTCAAAATCCGAGGCGCGGTCGTCAAAAAAATGGCGAACCCGAGTCCTGGCAAACCCGGGTCTTACGCTCCCCCGACTGTTACGTGAGCCCCGAGTGCTGGGCGGCCGGCGTCGCAGAGCGACAGTGCACACGCGATCAGCGCCAGGACGCCACGGACGGGGAAGGGCCAGATGCCTGCGCGTCGGGGCGTCGGGGTGGGGGGTCATCGTCCCCCTTCCCTCCCCACGCTCCCTTCCTTTTCCTTATGCATGAGTAACTCCTCCCTGTCGCACCCCGAAGCCAGTCAGAAGGGCGGGCCGGGCGTTTCGCCTGAGACGTCCTTGCCCCTTATGAGCCCCAAGCTGATATACCCTGGCGAAGAACCCAACCATACTTACGCAGGACGAAAGATGTTCCACTTAAGGTGAAAATGGCCATGAGGAGATCGCAAGACAATGTCGGCACCGCCGAACGGACGGCGACCAGACGAGCTGTTTGCAGCATCCGAGGGGAGAGGGATGTATGTAGTCATGTTGAATGGGGCCCGCTCGCGCGGGGAGTTCATGGGAGTGCGCGAGACGACGCAGGGCCCATCGTGGAAAATTGATTACCGAACCCCTCTCCCCCATAGATCTTAACACGGGCGGTTTGCGGGGTCCGCGGATCCGTTTTCTTCTGGTCCCCTGTTTTCATATGATGATATGAACTTAAACAAAGTAGAAATCGGATGCGCCGTAAAATAAAAGACCGGACACGGATCCAACTAATCCGAAATCGGATCCGTACGGACGGAAATCGGATCCACCGAAACAAACACCAAAGCCACATTTGGATCCGCGCGAACTTCATGGGATCCGACGGCGGTTATCTCATACGGGTCTGCTCAAGACCTCACACCGTTGTTCCGGGCCCAAGAGGAAAAAACTTTCGTCCTGGGGATGTATGCAGCTGTGAATATCGCAAGTGAGAATATCTTCTTCGGTGGCGATCCCTATGGTGCCACGAACAGAGTGAGGGTATGCAAAAATGGGAGGCGCAGACGCATGTGGACACCGCCACTGGGGCCTCCGGTGGAGCTCCCTGGAGGGCCACGTGACGTGTCAGGGGTGCGCCGACATGGGTGGCCGGGGCACATGTGGACACCGCCAATGGGGCCTTCGGTGGAGCTCCCTATGGGGCCACGAAGCATGTGAGGGGTGTGCCGACATGGGTGGCGCGGACGCATTCGGTGGAGCTCACTATGGAGCCACGAAGCGTGTGAGGGGTGTGCCGACATGGATGGCACGGACGCATGCGGACACCGCCACTGGGACCTTCGGCAGAGCTCCCTAGGGAGCCACGAAACGTGTGAGGGGCGGGCCAACATGGGTGGCGCGGACGCATGTGGACACCGCCACTGGGGCCTTCGGTGGAGGTTCCTATTGGGGCACGAAGCGTGTGAGGGGTGTACCCACATTGGTAGCGCGGACGCACGTGGACACCGCCACTGGGGCCCTCGGTGGAGCTCCATATGGGGCAACGCAATGTGTGAGTGGTGTGCCGACATGGGTGGCGCGGACGCATGTGGACACCGCCACTGGGGCCCTCGGTGGACGTCCTTGGGCCCACGAAACGTGTGAGGGGTGTGCCGACATGGGTGGCGCGGACGCATGTGGACACTGCCACTGGGGCCCTCGGTGGAGCTCCCCATGGGGCCACGAACAATGCGAGGGGTGTGCCGACATGGATGGCCGGGACGCATGTGGACACCGCCACTGGGGCCTTCGGCAGAGCTCCCTACGGAGCCACGAAACGTGTGAGGGGCGGGCCGACATGGGTGGCGCGGACGCATGTGGACACTGCCACTGGGGCCGTCGGCAGAGCTCCCTAGGGGGCCACGAAGCGTGTGAAGGGTATGTCGAAATGGGTGGCGCGGACGCATGTGGACACCGCCACTGGGCCCTTCGGTGGAGCTCCTTATTGGGCCACGAAACGTGTGAGGGGTGTGCCGACATGGGTGTCGCGGACGCATGTGGACACCGCCAGGGGGGAGGGGGGAGGAGGCGGGACGCGGGGCGCTGTCTCTTCAAAGCGAAGAACCAACACCACATAATGGTTGGGAAACACTGCAAACAGCTTCACATATGGAGGGCGGTTCGCTTCCAAAACGTGGCTGTCGCTTGAGCGCCTTGCATATTCTTTAAAAGCATTTGCACGAGCTTCACGGATTGAAGGCGGGTGGTTTTCAAAACATGGTTTTCGCCACAGCTCCGCCCACATTCATGTCAGAAATGTGCGAGACATCCGGGAATTATGAGGGGCTCGTTTTCAAAAAGTGGCTCTCTCCTTAGCGCCGCGCACATTCGTTTTCAACACATGCAAGATTTTCACTGGTTAAGAGCGGTTCCTTTTCAAAATGTTGCTCTCGCCTTGGCGCCGCGTGCACTCGTTTTAAGTTGCAAACGTTTGATTGTTCCGCATGGTTGACGTGCCAAACATGGTGCTTTGGAGCGATTCAGGATTGTCAGGGCGCAACAGTTACGTTCATTCGCGGTGTCCAAGTCGCAGGAATGGCGTTCTGGCACGATGCAGGATCGCCGAGGCGCAACAGTCAGGTTTATTCATGGCGTTGAAATCATGGGCATTGTGTATTGCCACGCGTCAGGATCTTCAAACGGTTGTCGCCCAACGGGGCGCTTCCCTGTGGAAATGAACCCTTGTAGTGGCCTCTGAAGGGGGAGCTTGGAGGAAGGAAATATTACATTATAGTTGATGGGTCTTGGGTTTGCACTGGTCCTCCTCCTCCGCATCCTCCTTCCTACTTCTCGCCCTCCTTCTCCTCTCATTCGCCTCGTGCTTCCTTTGTTCGCACTGTTTCTGACTCAGCTTCCATCCACCTGAACGATTCTTCTATGTTCGACCACCCTGCTCCTCTTATCGACTTACCGCCACCATCAAGCATGACCAGCACAACAACGATCATCATCGTGGTCGCCATCATCGTCGTCATTGACATCACCATTTTACCCATCGCCCCTGTCATCAGCAACATCAACACCATTACCACGACGATCATCACCATCACCATATACATGCTCACAATCATCATCGCCATCAACATCGTCATCGTCATCATCCTCATTCGAATATTCATCATCACCATTGTCATCATGATAAACATCATCATCATCACCACATCACCGTCAGCATTTCCATCACAATCACCATCACCATCAGCATCACCCACATCACCGTCATCAACATGAACATGAACATCAGCTTCAGCATCAGCATCAGCATCATCACCATCAGCCATCATCAACCTCCTCATAGCCACCGCCATCATCAATATCACCTTCACCACCATCAGCACCATTATGAGCCTCAGCATCATCACCATCATCATCATCACCAGCATCGTCATCATCATTAACGTCATCATCAAAATCAGCATTCCTCCTCCTCCTCATCATCATCATCATCAGCATCAGCATCAGCATCAGCATCATCATCATCATCATCATCATCATCATCATTAGCATCGTCGTCGTCGTTGTCGTCGTTAGCGGCGTCGTCGTCGTCGTCGTCGACGCCATCATCATCATGAAAGAGCAGAAGCCCATGGCGCTGAGATGAACGTGGAGAAATTGAGGATGACGCGGATGCCGACCCTATGAATCCGCCAAGCCCCGCTTGCTGGGGGTGAAAAGGCGTGTGAGAATGATTGACTGCATCCTGGTCCAAACTGCCGTTTGAAGGGGGGGTCGAGACGGGGGGGGGGCACGAGCTCCTAAACGCATCCCTGGGGCCCCTGGAGCTTCTCCAGAGCCCCAAGACGCCTCAAGACGGCCCGAGAGGGCCCACACGAAACGCCAAGACAGTCCAAGAAAGCGTCGAGATGGCCCAAGGTAGCCCCACGGTGATTCAAAAGCAAGCTTCGAGACGATCCACGGCGCGCCCAAGACGGCCAAAGAGTGCTCTCAGAGGGCGGCGGGAAGGCCCCAAGAAGCGAGAATCGTCGCATTCCCTTGAGGAAACGCGCAATTTCAGCATACTCGCCCTTTGCGTCTTGAGATCGTCTACAACACCGCCCGCCCCAAGCCGGCCCAGGAGGGCCCCAAGAAGGCTCCAACGGCCCCCAAAGGCCCCCAAAACAGCCCGAGAGACCCCCAAACAAGGCCCAAACGGGCCCCAGGGGCTCCCGAGACGGCCCAGGAAAACCCCAAAAAGGGGAATCCGAACTGACATGTCGAGGTTTTCCCCCAAACGCGGCCCCAAGAGCCCTGGGAGACCTCTCCAGCAGCCCCCGCGAGGCCTCACGAGCCCTCCAAGAGGCACCGAAAGGCCCCCCAGACATTCCGACAACAGCTCCACGAGGCTGCCGGGAGAAACTTTCTGAACTCCAGCACGCATCCAACAATTCCTCGCCTTGCCTACGTTTTCTTCTGGTGGTCGGCGGAATGGCGCTCGCCCCCAGAATAGCGCGACTTACCACACCTGAGAGCCCACAGCGCAATTGAACATCCATCTACGCGAGCCGCAGCGCATCTCGGTTTCGGCGGCTGCCCCAGCACTGGGCCTCGAGCGTTTCTCCTGGAGGACGCCGAGCCGACGCACTACACACTTGTACCAGCTTCTGCTCCTCAGTTTTGTCAGTGGAGCCCATGGGCGGCTCCACCTCCCACGTGCTTGCCTCTTCTGGGCACAGGCCCGCGCATCCTGCAGCGCCAACTCCTGCCGCGCATTTTGCAGCTCTGGCGACAAAGCATCAACGTTCACGCGGGCATCCCCCCACGGCCCACCCGCGGGCCTTGGCCTTTAGCCTTACCCTCCCACCCCCGACCAGCTGAACTTCACAAGAACCGCATCCGCCAATGCTGGCGAGCGAACAGACGGCGCGGCGCCAAGTCGGTGCGTCTCAGCATTGCAGGACCGTGATTTTCCCAGGGGGGGCCAGCCTCGCTGCGCTCAAATTTGTCATGGCCCCCCCGAGGGGACCAGCCGCGCCAAGTTGAAGTCTGCGATTGCTTCGGCGTCTGTGAGTGTCGCAAGATCACCCTTCGGCAGGATCCACCCCTGGGCCTACCTTAGACTTACCCCCGGGGCCTCTCCCTCAGGCCAGCCCCTGAGGGCCCCAGGGTTAAATCGGGCGCGTCCCCCTACAGAGGGATTTTCGACGAAAAATAATAAATACCCCAACAATGCCCCAAAAAGGTCAAAAAAAAAAAAAGTCCCCAGACAATTTTTGGACTATTTTGGGATTATTCTTGGGGTATTATTTATTTTTCGTCGAAAATCCTCCTGTAGGGGGACAGGCCCGACTTAACCCCAGGGCCTGCTCCCAGACCCCCTGGGGCAGGGCCGCCTTTCGCCACCCTGGCCGCCCCTAGGGCGCGCGGCGGCCCCTGGGGCAGCCAACCCCCCCAGGGCTCATGTCCTCACCTCCGCCGCGCCATTGGAGCTCGAACGTTCTGCCTCGCGGGCGCCTGGCCCGCGGATGTTCCAACTTGCCCCCGCCGCCTCCGCGGCGCCCCAGGCGGCCGCGATGCCGCGCGCGCGCGCCCCGCCGCACCAGCGCTAACAGCTGATCGACGGGTCCGCCAGGGCCCGCGGCGTCGGCATCGCCCCCGCGATCCACGCGGCCAACAAGAAGCGCGAAGCTCGCGGGGCGGCGCCCATGCGCTAAGTCCGCCGAGCACTGGCACGTTCAAGGCACCAGCCGCGCTGCGGGGGGGCGCGCCGGAAACGAGGGGCAGGAAGCGGGCCTTGGCTGCCAACGATGCCTGCAGGCTGGACCAGGCCCAGAAGGCAAGGCAAGGCAAGGCAAGGCGCCGATGTTCGCCCCGGGGGGGGGGGGGGCGGCCCTCTGAGAGCACGGCGGGGGCGCCGGAGCGCCGAAACTCAGATGTCGTAGTACACGATCGCTTCAGAATCTGGAATTCGAGCCATAGGCTCCATGGAATCAATCCTTCCCCATCAGTTTGAGAATGGAGCGTTACGCAAAGAGGGGGCACATTTGGCCAGGAAGCGCTTCGGCAAGAAGGCCAACGGAGAGCACTGGTTTACCTACGCGGGACGTCGCGGCGGCTGCAAACATAGAGGGCCGGGCGTGTCGGCGCTCCTGCGAGGATGCAACTGCGAAGCGAGGGCGCACGGTTCTGGGCGAGAAAATCCCTCCCGCAAGCACAACAACCTGTCTCGATTCAGCTGGAGGAGTGTTTCTCTCATGTGCCCGTCAATGCTGGTTCAGATCGTAGTGGGTGGGTGAATTCCTACTGGTACATGGTCCCTGGGTCCTCTGGTTTACATCAGCTGTAGTCTCTTTGCTGCTATTGTCAACGTCGCGCATCTTTTTGATGGGGGAAGGCTACCGTGCGACGAGCAATATGTTCGACATGGCAACTCCCTTCCTGCGTCCGTTAATGGGTAGGTCGCACGTCGTAAAAAAATCGTCGCGATTGCTAGGGGGCTACTTCTGAAGAGTTGTCTGAAGTTTTTGTCTCTTGTTCGATGTAGTAATCAACTCGACCTAGTGTGTTCCCAAACGTCTGTCTATCAACCCGTCGTTGTCTCTGTGTGATCCGAATTGACTGTTCACATGCCCTCCCACCACTATCTTCGTCCCACCACCCACTCTGCCATATCTCCCCAATCCATTATGTAATCCTCGATGCAATCTCCTAGTACTTCTTACAGCTGGCCGGTGCAACGTAAGCCACAAACAAACACATCTACGCTCATCGAAACTATCATCAACCCTGCCGTCCTGCACTGGATGCTGGCTCGGGGCGTGTACATCGTCCTCAAAGACTCTGTCGGTATGTGGTTCGCCACCAGCGCTGCCGTGCCACATGCCTTCGTCACAAGTCTTCTTATTTTCGTTCCGAACTGTATGACCCAGTGGTGGGCGAGGGCAATCGTCGTCGCAGCTTCCCCTCGCCTTGTTTGCGTTCCACGTATGGCGCCCCATCCCTTAAATTCTTGACTGATATCCTCAAGTCGGTTCGAATCGATGCCGCTAGGGGGCTGTACGTCAAGATCTCCACAACGCAGATGAGAGCGAGAAACATCAATTTGCAATGTTCCCAATCCCCCCAGGTTGTTCGCTTAAGCGGAACGGTGTCGCTTGGGAGCGGGTTGGTGATCGCTCGATTCTTCCCGCGGCAACCTTCAAGATGAGTGGAGGAGGAGGAGGGGAAGGAGGAGGAGGAGGAGGAGGAGGAGGAGGAGGAGGAGGAGGAGGAGGAGGAGGGGGAAGACGAAGGAGAGGAGGATGAGGGAGAGGGGGAGGAGAAAGAGGAGGACGAGGAGGAGAAGGACGGAGGAGGAGGAAGGAGGAGGAGGAGGAGGGGGAGGAGGAGGGGGAGGACGAAGTAGGAAGAGGAGGACGACGAAGGAGGAGGAGGGGGACAGTCGGTGGACAAAATATTGCAAGTTTGTTGAACGTTCTGGGAAGCAGCGTGCTGACTTGAATCAGATTCACTCGATCTCCGAAGAGCCCCCTCACCCCCGCATTTCAATGCTGACTTGCATAATTTGTCCTGCGGGACGGGGGGGGCCTCATCGACGCCAACATTGACATGTAGGGGGCAGGGGGGGGAGGGCGTCGAGATCTTGTCGCAGTCCGTGTGCAGCCGCATGCGTCCACGAACAACTTGCATCTGTTTGTCCACCCACCAGAGGAGGGGGAGGACTGGACGGGAAAGAGAAGCCGACACCCCACATGCACGAACATCAAAGAGCGCGAAGCCTTGTCGGAGGCAGTGCGGCAGACCAGGCGTCGGGGACACGAGCAGCGCTCCGACCACACGGGCGTCCTGCCCAAGCGCCCCTTGCCATTTGCCTACACGTACTCCTCCTCCATCACGTGGTCTTGACCATCCTCCTTCCCATCATCATCATCATCATCATCATCATCATCATCATCATCATCATCATCATCATCATCATCATCATCATCATCATCAGCAGCAGCAGCAGCAGCAGCAGCAGCAGCATTATCATCAGCATCATCATCACCGCCACCACCATCATCATCATCATCACCACCACCACCATCATCATCATCATCGCCATCGTCATCAACATCCTCATCATCAACATCATCATCACACCACTACCACCACCATCACCATCATCGTCAGCATCATCATCGTCATCCTACTCATCATCCTTATCGTCATCGTCCACGTCAGCGTCAGCGTCACCATCATCATCATCATCATCATCATCATCATCATCATCATCATCATCATCATCATCATCATCATCATCGCCACTATCATGTTCATCATCATGATCGGCATCACCATCACCATCACCATCACCATCGACATCACCATCACCATCACCTTCATCACCACCACTACGACCACAATCAACATCAACATCACCATCATCATCGCAATCACCACCATCAGCATCTCCAGTACCTTCATCGTAATCGGAATCGTCATTATAATCATCACCTTTCTCCCCATTCAGCATATTGCCTCGTCCGCACTACTTCTTTCGTCCTCATCCCTCCGCCCTCCTCCCTCTTCATTTTCCCTCTCCCTCATTCTGCTGCTCCCCATCCCCTAGCTTCTTCCTCATCCTCCAATTCCGCCTCCTCGCGATTACCAACAATAACTACCAACAAGGCCACCACATTGTAACAACCACAAGACGACATCATAAATATACTTATACTTATTGTCATCCGTTCACCACCTCCCGCATCCGTCCCCATCGCCTCATCCGTCATTATGCATCCTCATACCGACCTCTTTCATTTCATTCGTCTTCCCTCCTTCATGTGGGACAATTCCGAATATACACGTCAATGTACGACCGATACTTGCGTTGGCAGCTGCAGCAGCAGAGCGGAACAAGGGGCGATGAGGAGACACCGACAACCGCCAATCATGACGGCGGTCCATTCACCATGGACCCATTCCGGAGGAACTTGGGGCATTGCTCACCCGTGCCCACCGAGGGGCACCGACGAGGACGAGGCAGGCGCTGTGAAGCTAGTGTCCGCTGTGAAGCTAGCGCCCCTTTTGTGGGGAAGCGGGGAGAACCCCGAGAAGGCCCGCGGCCAAAACGGGGGAAGGTGCCACAGCACCGCCCCCGCGGGGAGGGGCGACTGGCCCGCAGGGAAGGAGGCGCGGGACGCGCCTGCATCCGCTGGGGGCGGCGCCTGAAGAGCTTTGCAGGGCAGGCCCTCAGTCGCACATGTGGAAGTCGTGGTCAGTGCTGTGCTGGCGTAGGAGTGCTTGTTCCGGATTGTTCCATGCGTGCTCTCTTGTGCTGATGCAGACCAGCGCCCACTGCTTGGTTGGAGATGCCCGCGTACTGCCAGGAATTGTGTGGTCCCACATCCCCACCGCCTCCTCTGACGCCCGTGCTTGCGGAGCGCTTGTTGGAGGTCGTGGACTTCTGGCTCCCAGGTTGCAGCAAGTCTGGCCCATTGAGGGGTGCCTGCCTACATTAGGTGTTCGACCACAGGAAAGCTTCCAAAAGAAACACCCAACCCTGAGACGAAGTCCATGGATTTTTGGTGTGGGAACGTCACGCCATCCACAGCGAAAACGTCGAAATCCAAGAAACCCACGGCACACTGGAGGCAAGCAGGCTGTTTCTTGGCATGGACTTCCACTGTGTGTCGATGAGCTCTGCGGGCCCGCATGGGCGCCGCAGGCGCAGAGTCGAGCATCCTCGGGCCCCAGAGCCGAGTGCCCTCGAGGCCTCCTTAACGTCATCATCCTCTCCGAACCTGCGGGCCGCGACCCCCGACCCAGGCCAGCATTCGCCGGTCCAACGGGCCAGAGGCGTGCTAAGACCTCCGGTGACTGGATATGTATACGGCAGGTTCGTGTCGTGCCGACCCTGGCGTTGGTTCCTGACACCACACGGATCGTTCAACCTTGAACGATCGGCCGTCTCCGAAGCGTCAGATGGTTCAACATCGACCGATTATGGGTCGCTGGCGGCGTTCAACATTGAGCGCCGGCGGCGGGGTCGCCGCCAGTCGACACGACGCGAACCGTATTCCAATTTGCGCGCGCGGGACCGCCACTGGGAGTCCCTGGACGACAGGTACTCCCGAAACCCCCGGCAAGGTCCACGGCAGACTCAAATCAGAGATGGTTTTTCTCCCGGGGGCGGTTTTCGGGGCCCCCCAGATCGCCCCAGGAGCGGCCAAGGAACCTCAAGGCAGCTCCGAAAGGGCCCACGAATCGGCATCACGGCCCAAGAGCGCTCCAAGACGCCCAATATGGCCCCAAGACGACCCAAGAGGCCCCAAAGAAGCCACAAGAGCGCTCCACGAGGACCCCAAACAGAGCCAAAAGCAGCAACAATCATTGATTTCCCTTCTGCTTTCTACGTTCTCGCGTTCTCGCGCTTTCGGGCTTCCGACGCTCCAAGATGGCCGCGGCCCTTGGGAGCCGCGCCTGCCGCCGTCTGTCTGTAGCTTCAGACGGACGTGCCCTGCCTCGTGCCTCCTCCCCCCCACACCACCGGCGGCCCGCGTCCTGCCGCAGCAGGTGCATCGCCACCATCGCCCCGAGCGAGTGCCCCAGCACCACCACGCGGGCCCAGCCGAGCGCGTCGAGCCGCGGAGCGCCCCCGGGGGGGGGCGGAGGCGCGTGGGCGCGGGGAAGCTCGGCGCTCGGAGGCACGATGGCGGCGACGAGGCACCACACTCCAAACTTCATGACAAAAGGGGGGCCCTGATTTGGGGGGGGGGGGGGCTGTCCTGGAGGCTTCTCGGGGGGGGGCATGGGCAAGAGGCAGCCCTTTCGCGCGAGGTTTGGGGGGGTTTGGGGGGCCTGGGAGGTCCGAGACGGTTTGGCATCTGGGAGGATTTTGCGATCCCCACGGGGGTCTGGGAGGGTTCTGGGGGCTATGGGGGGCTCGTGACCCCCACCCCTATGCTATGAAATTCGGAGTGCCCTGTTTGGACTCCCTCCTCTGAGGCTGCGCCCTCCCCCTGTCCTCCCCCTCTTTTTAATTCAAGCCTCGCGCGGCCCGCTTAGCTTCGACCGGAAGAGGTGCGCTCTCGACCCGCGGATCAAAAAACTGTTTGGACTGCCTTGAGGCCCCGCTCCAACACGGTGCGGTGCGTAGGTGCCTGGTTTTGAGGGCCGACGGACCTATGCACCGTGCCATTCGCAGAGGCCGCCACCAACGCGGGGGCCTCTCTCGACCTCTGGCTGGCTCGCCCCGCTACCAGGCCCGCCCCCACAGCGGCGCCCTCAGAGCTCACCCACGGAAGCACTCCCTCCTCCTCCTGGTTCCTGGTTCCTGGTTCCTGGTGACATGAGGTCCCGGAGGGTGTGCCTCCCCCCCAAGGGCCGGTCGGCTCTGAGGGTGTGATCAAACTGAGCCTGCTCCCCCTCGCTCCTCCTTTCCCCGTCCTTACAGATGACTCCTCCCTCCCGCACCCCGAGGCCGGTCAAAAGGGCGGACCAGGCGTTTCGCCTGAGACGTCCTCACCATGTATATATAACTGATGCTTAAGCATTGACAACAGTTTTACAAATGGAGGGCGTGCCGCTTCAAAAATGTGACTCTCGCCTTAGCGCCGCGCACAATAGCTTTCAAACAATTGGGAGACCTTCCCGGATTGAGGGCGGGTGGCTATCAAAATGTGGCTCTCGCCTTAGCGCCGCGCACACTCGGATTTAACATTTGCACGAGCTTCACGGATGAAAGGCGACTGGTTTACAAAATGTGTCAATCGCCTTAGCGCCGCGCACATTTCAAACATTTGGAAGAGCTTCACGGATTGAGGGCGGGTGGTTTTCAAGCTGTGGCTCCCCCTTTAGCGCAGCGCATATTCGTTTTAACCATTTGCAAGAACTTCACGGATTGAAGGCGGTTCCTTTTCAAAGTGTGTGCCTTAGCGCCGCGCGCATTCATTCTAAACATTTGCAAAAGTTTCACTGCAGCGTACCAGAAACGGTGCCTTGAAACGATTCAGGACAATCGGGGCGCAACAGTTACGTTGATTCGCGGTGCAGAAGTCCCAGGAAGGGCTCTCTGGCACAATTCAAGAACACCCAGACGTAACAATCAGGTTAACTCGTGGCGTCGAAGTCCTGAAAATAGTGTTTGGGCAAGCTTCAATATGTTTACACGGTTATCCCCCAAAGGGGCAATTCCCTCAGTGGAAGTGACTCCTTATGAGGGGCCTGCGAAGAGAGATCTTGGAAGGGGGCGGGGTATTTCATCATCGCTGCCGAGTCTTGGGATTACGCTGCAGCTCTTCCTCCTCCTCGCTGCTCCTCCTCCTCCTCCTCCTCCTCCTCCTCCTCCTCCTCCTCCTCCTCCTCCTCCTCCTCCTCCTCCTCCCCTCGCTCCTCGCTCCTCGCTCCTCGCTCCTCCTCGCTCCCCTCGCTCCCCTCGCTCCCCTCGCTCCCTCGCTCC